GTATTTGTACTTTTACTTAAGTACATTTTTTGAGTACTTTCTCCACCACTGGGTTTATTTCATAAAACTCCAAGGGAAACATTTTTTTCGCCTCACACAAGTCACATGATCAGCAACCGGATGTTCCACTGGCACAAACTGGACTTATAGCCTGAACAAACTTATTCACGTGTGATTTTAATTTCATTTCTTATTTAATGGAAACGCTGCAAGTGCAAAATTTTGCCTTTGTGACATTTGCGAGACCATTGACAAAGTTTTTTCCACACATTTACAATGGAATTGCGTGTGGCGTTAGTTTAGACCAGGGATGCCGGATCTCCAGGGTCGGCATCCTGCATGTTTTAGTTCTCTCCCAGGTTTATTTATCATTTGATCACCTGGATCAAATGATGGCTTGTTAGAAGGCCTAAGAAGAACATAGACATACTGAACAGGTTGTTTCTACCACCAGGGAGAGAACTAAAACATGCAGGATGCCGGACCTCGAGGACTAACTTTGGGGGCCCCTGGTTTAGACCATTTGGTTCATATATTATCCAGTCAGGAAAGTAATTGGTGACAAATAAGCCAGAAGAAAATAATAATTTAAAAAGGTTTGGCTTTTTAATACCACAAGTTAAGAACATGGTTCCAACACTGCTGTAGTTTCTGCCCTTTGATTTGTTTGGCACTTTGACACCAGGGGGCGACCTTTCTCCTTTGGTTCAGTCCTACAGTATGTTGTCCTTAGAGCAGCAGAACTATTATAATGAAGCTTGATTCACTGTTGAAATATCATCCCACACACTTGTGTTCAAGCTAATCCTAAATATAAACTCTTAAAATAAGTTTGTTAAATCAGAATAGAATCAAGACTTAAAATCAAAAAGTTTTCAGCTCAGTCTGTAGTCCTCTCCTAGTCTCAATACTGTTTTTGTTTTTTCTCTGTGTGACACAGGCACGGGGAAGACGACCACGTTGGTGAGATACGCCGCTCAGCGTCCGCACCTCCGCTTCCTCTACGTGGCGTTTAACAACTCGGTGGCCTCCGAGGCCCGACGGCGCTTCCCTCCCAACGTGGACTGCAAGACGGCCCACTCCTTGGCCTACAGCGACGTCGGGAGGAGGTGAGGAACCTGCTCAGGAGGCGGCAGGTTGCTGCTGCACGTTCGTTAACCGGATTCGGTTGTCTTGGTCTTGTGTAGAAAGGCGTCACTTTCTGACTCCACTGTCGCGCTCTTCGTCGCAGATATAAAACTCACGAGAAGCTCACCTTCAACGTGAAGCCGTTCTCCATCAACCTCGCCCTGACTCCTGGAGCCGGAGGCTACAGCAGGGCCAAAGTGGTGGCCACCATCCTGAACACCTTCATGGCCTCGGCAGACCAAACCATCGGGCCCCAGCACGTCCCCTACGACTACGCGATCTGCAAGGGCCGCAGGAAGATCATAGACCCTGACGAGCAACAGGTAGACGCTTCCACCGCTTTCGCTCTCCTGGTGAATACATCCGTGACAAAGTGTTAACGTTTTCTTTTGTACTTCTAGTTTTTTATCGCCGAGGCAAAGGGCATCTGGAACAAAATGAAGGACGTCAGAGAGAAATCAAAGCAGGCCTACTACATGCCTCACGACGGTACGGCGTCCACAGCAGAAACGTATGGAAGCTAAAACAGCTCAGGTTAAAACTGGACTCTTTGTTGCCTAGGTTACCTGAAGCTGTGGCAGCTCAGAGACCCGAAGCCCTGCCTGACGGAACGATATGACGCCATTTTTATCGACGAGGCTCAGGACTGCACACCAGGTACTGTGGATTCAATGGCACATGGCCTCATGGTCGCCCGGTTTGGCCCGTGTTTTTAAGAGCTCTGTTCCTCCGGTCAGCCATCATGGACGTGCTGCTGGCCCAGCGCTGCGGGAAGATCCTGGTGGGAGACCCCCACCAGCAGATCTACACCTTCAAAGGAGCAGTCAACGCCCTGCGTGCGGTTCACCACACACACATCTTCTACCTCACTCAGGTACAAGCTAACAGTCTGGCTCTTCTCATCATACACTCAGATTGACTCAGACTAGAACATAATGGTGGAGGAGAAACTGCGTCTTCTTTTTGTTTTCTTAGAGTAAAACTTTTAATCGTGTAGCTAGTACTTTGTTCACTGTAGATTGCAACCAGTTGTCTTCAGAAATGATCTAAATCATCTGTTTATTTAGATGTACTCTGCTGTAGCCGGATATCTGGGAAAACAAAACGTTTTTCTACATTTGGTCATTCATCCACATAAAAAGTTATTTAGAAGAATTCTGACCAAAATGGATATTTGAGGTCCTACGCATTACAGTCTGACAAATAATGCCCCAATGTAATTCACATACTTACACGATTCCCAGTCGACATCGCCTTGTATTTTATTAGCTTTATATTCAAATGTGCTATCTAAAAGTAGTTCAGCTTATATAATTGAACCTCGTTGCCATTTTAATTCTTAACAGGAAGTTGTTTTTGAAGCAATCTGATTGGCTGACCTATATTTTAGCTTTGTGCTACACTGCCCCCTATGGGTTTGGCAGGATTTGCACTGATTCCAATGGATGACACCTTTTCTGATTCCAGTCCCGTGTGTACAATTTTATTCTTTAAACAATGATGATGATAATTGCTGAAAATGTAATGACTCGATCCAACCAGTTTGGTTATAATACAAGGTTTGTGATTCAATGGGTGTGAATACTTCGAAAGTAAGTTTATAAAAATGGTGGCCATTATATTTTTTCCTCAAATATTTACAAACTGCTTTTATATTTACTCAGATTTTTTTTGCCTAATATAAAAATTCAGGTGTAGGATAAGTGTGTAGATCACAAATTAGTCTGACTATTTAGAAAGTTTTATCTTCAACCCCTGAGGATGAAGTGTTACTAAGACTGACTTTAACTTGTTTATTTAGAAAATATGTGAATCTGATGAGCGGCCATGTTAACCGGTTTTCTAATTAAAGATAACTCACACACTTTTTAAAAAAGTTTACTCATCTTTAGCGTTTTGCAGCTGAAAAGCATCAAATCACGCTGTGTGTTTTTGGTCCAGAGCTTTCGGTTCGGAGCGGAGATCGCCTTCGTGGGCGCAGCCATCCTGAAAGTCTGCAAGGGGGTCAAGAAGATTCTGGTTGGAGGAATGCAGAAAAGTAAGAGCGGCAGAGGGTTGTCTTTAACAGAAGTTTGTTTTAGGCTTTTACTTAAAACTGCAACTAACAGTTATTTTAGTGATCGACGATTCTGACGATTAATCTGTTAATTGCCACATTCTGCAGATTTTGCATTTATAATCACTTATGCTTAGTTGATGCAATATTAGAAATATGTCAAGAGACGAAAATAATCAAATACTTCAAGTCCTTTATGAAGTAAGAAGATAAACATTTTATTTCCTAAAATGACTGACAGTATAGGACTAATCTGTTAACTATTTTTCAGCCTTACTGATTAATAATTGGATAGCAAAAGGTGCTTAAGAGGAGATTTAAAAATGTTAATCATGATTAATCGCGTTGCATCATGATTAAATATGATTAATTATGCTGCAACATGATTAATCACGATTAATCGTTACAAACCTTATTTTTTACTAAATTTTCCTGAAAACAGGCTTTTGGTCAGTATTGTACATAGTTTGAAACCCTTCAATTTTTTTTATTTTTTCATTTAAAGGGGAAACTTGGAAATGTGTGATACATACTATGATAGAAAAAAAATCTCTCAATGCATCATATTGTTTTTTTTGTTTTTTGCATATTTTATGGTTTTCTTAATGCAAAGGGTTACAAAAACCAACATTATTCTATATTTGAACAGATTTTAGTTGGCAACCGGTTTACATTTTTTATTACCAAACTTCATACTTTCCAGACATAAATTAGCACATTTTCTTGTCCATATTCAGCCTATTTTACTGTTTAAATTCAAAGGTTCTGCCAGAATTTTCATCTGTCATTTTATCAATTATAAAAACAATGGATGGATTAATTAGTCTACACGGTGTACCTTTAAAGATGGGTGTTTTGATCAGATTCTACTGTTAATTTTCCAGGTGGTGTGTGTGATGAGACGGCAGAAAAAGCCCTGGAGGCCATGAAGAAAGGCGAGAGCTGCAGCCGGGGGAAAATCGGCGTCCTGTCTCGGTGTAACCTGGGCGTCTTTAAGGGCGCCGTCCAGCTTACGGACGCCAACCAGCAGTGCCGGATCCACTTCATCGGCGTGAGTGTTTACACCCACAGAGGATTTAAAATAGAAAAGAAAAGTGGTCAGTGTAAACTTTCACTTCCGTCTGACAGGGAGTCAAAAACATTGGGCTGGAGAAGATCATGGACATCTACCATCTGATGACTCATGGGGGGCAGGAATCCAAAAGAAGAGGTGAGTGTCCAGTCCTGTAAAAAAATGAACAAATCTTTTCAAGTTTGATTTACTTGGGTATTATAATTTTAAAAAACAGCAAATAATGTCGAAGAACATTTCAAAAACACTGATTCGTACTGTAATAGAGAGAAAATAAACCGGAGGGCGCAGCATCCAAACATTAAAATTATCCCTCATACGAAGGACCAGTTGAGACTAAAGCACCAGACTGAAGACTTTTGCCGGGTGATAAATTGTCCCACTAATGATTGCGATAAATGACAATATTGCCATTTTGAGACCATTTTCAAGCAATGTATTGATACGTTTGCCCTCTGAAAGTGAACTTTAATTTTGACACTTAACACTGGAACTGGAAGACATTTTGAAAAATCTAAAATAAAATACAAGAGTCAAAAACCATAAATAAAATGGAACTAGAAACCACACACAACCGGAGCTACAGATGAAATAAATGATGTCTCTGAAAACAAAATTGCCCTTTAATAAATATGACTCATCAGAATGGAAATAACCAAACTAATTTTAAGTTATGATGCAATTGAATGACTCATTGCTTGACGCGACAGATAAGGAAACCATAAATGGTTTTCTTTATCAGTTGTCTGTACTTTAGATTACAGACAATCTCAATTAAATACTTTGAAGTTTGTGGGTTTACAAAAGAAAACAAAAAAATGACTTGTAGGTATGAATGCTTTTACAAGGCGATGTGAGAGTAAATGTTTACCTTCTGATGTCCTGTCAGCCATCAAAGACCCCCTCATCCGGACGTTTTTCTCAAGCAAGAGGGACCCCTACTTGACCTTTAAGGAGTACATCATCCAAACCGAAGACAAGGAGCTGGACGGGAAGCTCAGCATCGTGGAGAAATACAGAGAGCGCATCCCAGAGCTGGTGGCCCGACTCAAGGCGTGCGCAGAGACCGACTTCCACCAAGCAGGTATACGCCGACTCCAACCCGGAGAGGACGGCGACGGCTGTTTTTTCCAGAAAAGTTGCCACTTTGCGACTTTTTTTTCACCCTGCAGCTTGATTTACTTACGTTGTGATTAGAGTAAAGCTGATACCAGATGATAAAAGGTCATGGTCTGGACGAAGGAAGCGGAGGGTTTTAGATGGTTGGCTGATCCAAGCGTCTTTTGTGATGTGGAAATCCTGTAGGAGGTTTTTATTGTCACGGCGTATCATTTGAAGGACGACTTGCTGTTTCTGTTTTTCCATTCAGCCTTACGGAAATTAAAAACAAACTATTGAAAATGTGCAGAACTTGCATCTGTTCATTTTACCTTCATTGTTTTAGCAAATATTTTAATTCTGCAACTAACGACTATTTTAGTAATCGGTTATTCTGACGATTAATCAGGTTTTTTTTAAAAGGTACACTGCAAATGTTTCTTTTAACCACTTAAGCTTATTTTATACAATATTAAAATAATAAAAAAGAAAATCCAAGAAAATAAATAACTTGATTCCTTTAAGTAAGAAAATAAACATTTAATTGTCTAGAATGCAGTAATAGTATGTGGTGTTCTTTCAACAAACGGCATGTTTTAGAGTCTGTATACTCCAGTAAGCGACTAATCGATTACTAAATTAGTTGACGATTATTTCAATAATCGATTAATCTGATTAATTGTCTTAAGCCTTATTTTCTCTGCACTCAGACTTTATTGTTGGAACTGTCCACAAGGCCAAAGGTCTGGAGTTCAACACTGTGATCGTCACTGATGATTTCGTCACCGTCCCCGCTTCTGGCCACAACTTGTGCCGCATTCAAGACTTCTCTTTTTGTACGTTTCCTTCCCCCTCACACACACACACACACACACACATTCTTTTCTTTTGGAAAAAATTAACATTTTATGATGAGCTGTCCTGCTGATTGCGCTCGTGTCGCTTACCTCCGCAGCTAAGATTCCAGATGATGAGTGGAACCTGCTGTATGTGGCGGTGACTCGTGCCATGTCCTCCCTGGTTATAACTAAAAACATCCTCCGGATTCTCACTGTGGCTGGGGTGGGATATGATCACACAGCACATTCATTACACCCACTGTCTGCTCACAGTCCTTGCAAAGTAGCACAGCCTGTTCAAAACAGAGGTTGCGTTAACGGAATATTTTCCGTATTTGACCGATTATTTTGTTAAACGACCGGAAAATTTAAACCCCATCTGTCATTTGACAGGTTACAATTAACACCCTTGATTGGTGCACATGTACAGATAATACAGACTTTACGCAAAGAGTTCATCCCAGAGGCAACTAAAATCAATTAATAAAAAAATCCTTTCTGCCTATCATCTCATGGACTCTGAACTAAATGCGTCTTTCTGACCTGGAGCTGGCAGCGCTTTGGAGCATCTGGTTAAGAAGGCAAGGCAAGGCAAGGCAAG